CCCCAAACTGACCCATAGCGGAAATCATTTGAAACATAACCGGCTTAGGTTCAAAAGATGTTGCTGTCATTTCGGGCCTACCAATTCCCGAGGTCAATTGACCAAATTCGGGAGTTGCATAGTCCCGTATGCCTCTATTTTTGTCATCGGCAATATTAACCGTGGCTTCCCGAGGAGGTGGATTATCCCCCATGGTACGGTTGGGATTTCGCCGATTATTTCTACCTCTTCTTCGTCTCCTAATTGTTCTTTCTAACTCAAGATCAAGAGGTAAAAGATCACCGTGTTGTATCCGTGGCATACAACACAAGAACAGCGAATGAAACAACTGACCAAGGCTCAAATAAAAATCAATATCTCAGGATAAAAATCGGGCCAGTCCCCGGAAGCGGCGTCAAAAACTTGATGAGCTTATATCGTAAGTGTGCACACAGTGGGCAAAATATCCCCAAAGTGGCGGTGCAAGTGCACGCCGACACTAAGATCGCTTCAAGTAATAAAGTGGTATAGTACCAAGATCGTTTTCACAGGGACCGGACTTACTGAGAATCAGAGACTTTCATGAACTTCTTGAACAATGCTTCGAGTTGAGAAAATATTTGAGTTTTGATTGGTGCAAAGTGTTTAAAATACGAAATAAACTTTTAATATTAAAAGATGGGTATGGGTGTAAGCTTTGCTTAAGAATAGTACAGGAACGACTTGGTCAGAAACCCATGGGATTTCTATAAGAACTCCTTTCTCTCGAAAGCGAATTCTTATATATTGTGCCCACAGAGTGCCCACAAAGCGTCCAAATTTATCAATCTTAAACTTGCCGATTTAGCTACTAGATAAAAAGATATCTGGCTCCACTAGTCTGAAGATTTATACTCACAACGTATTGTAGCATAAACTCGACTAATATCTGAACAAAAGCTAAAAACATGCAAAACCCGCATCTCTGCGTCATTATCAAAGACTCTCTCGAACCTTTGTGCATCATCTAAGCCGTATTTCAGATCCGCCCATCTCTGGATCAAGGATCTAATGTTAACACTTCAAAGTGATCAGCTTATCCGCGTTGAGTTTACGTCCCGACTTAAATGACCAAGCTTAAGAATCAATAAAAATGGCAACAACCAAGTGTGCCCTTAAATCCTTAAGCTTGACTCACACCCACACCCAAAGGGGTTCTTAGCTCATAATGAAATTAGAAAACATAACAGAAATAGAAGAAGAAGAATGCATAAGAAATACTTGAAACGAAAATAAATACTTACTGGTGCCCACAGAGGGCACACAATACAGTGGCGAGAATAAAAGATGAACTACGAAAATTAAATTATAAACTGAAATTAAACTAGTTCTACTGCTACAAAGCTTAAAAGGATGCTCCAAGCTGCTTGACTAAGTTGCTGGTGGAAAAAGTGGATGATTTGCTTGAGAGAAAGCCTTCAAATATATAGGAGAAAGGTGGGACCCGGATACTCTTTGTCCAATGGGTAAGGACCACCCATCACCACAAGTCTACTTCAATCTTTGACCAAGTCACTTCTTCTTTGAAAAGTTGCAAAAGGTGAAAGTAGTCCCATTAAATATGATAAGAAGGCTTTTCCATCATAGTAAAAGTAGAAGTTCTTCCATGTCTTTTCATCACTTAACCGGGTCCATTCTTCCATGCAACTAAATGTTTAGATCTGAACTTAGCATTAAATCTCATTAATATCCAAGAATATGAATATCATAATTTTGTTCAAATCCAACTAGATGCAAAATTTACCAACAGTAATGGGTTTTTTAGAAAATAATTAAATTCTAAACCTTTCATCACCTCTTTACATAATTTGGACCAAAAATATAGGATAGGAGCAAAATGAGTACCAAAGATACAATAAAATAGGGGTATAAAACAACAAATAACTCTTACAAAATGAGAGTTATCACTTACACACAATCTACTTGCCATCTTGAGTTTTAAGTAATATGCATTAATAAACAATACTTTACATATAAAAAGTGGTTTTAAGAGTTTTTGTCAAATGCTTTATAATATAGTGTGTATGTATATATATATATATATATAGAGAGAGAGAGAGAGAGACTTGGGATCATGTGAGACCAGCCTGTTTTCGTGAGACCCGTGAGACCAACATTTTACACTTGAAACTTCACAGCAAAATGCTGTGAAGGTAACCTTCACAGTGTTTTTGCTGTGAAGTTTCAAGTGTAAAAATGTGGTCTCACGGGTCTCACGAAAATAATTTGGTCTCATGTGAACCCAACCATATATATATATCTATATATATATATATATATACATATTGGAACTTCACATCTCTCTTCAAGGCCTTTTCTGCTGAACAATTTAAAATTTTTCTAAATATTCTCAAATGTTATCAAAACCAAGATCTACGATTATGCACTACAAAAATGAAGAGTATTAGCGAGGGAAAATTCCTTCGATGATCCGATGCTAAAGGGGTCTTCCATCACTCATCCACGTTGATACTCCGTCGGTCAAAAGCTTATAGATAATGCTATGAGCCACTACAAAAATGAAGAATATCAACGAGGGAAAATTCCTTTGATGATCCGTCGCAAAGGGGGTGTCCCGTCGTTGATCTCTCGCTGATAGTCTGTTGGTCAAAAGCTCGTAGGTAATGTCATCAACGACGAATCAACGAGAGAACTTTTCAGCGACAGATCAGCGAGAGAAACTTTCAGCGACGGATCAACGAGGGAAACTTTTAGCGACTTATCAGTGAGGGAAACTTTCAGCGGCGGATCAGCGAGGAAAAATTTCAGTGACTGATCAGCAAGGGACGGGGAGGGAACTTTAGCGACACATTTTGCCTCGCTAATCCGTAGCTAATGTTTATTAATCTAAAAATAAATAGTTAATAATTACATAATTCTTGAATTTATTTATACAAAACATGGCCATAAAATAACAAGCCAATATCGTGAACAAATTAAAACCAACCAATTCATACGATTTAAAATATCCAATTCATATAATTTAAAATATCAAATTCATACAATTTTGTTAGTACTGAATTTCAGTGTAAATTATATTCGTCTTGAAAGATTAATTTTGTCTATAATTGTAAAAGTCATCGTGTTTGACTTTTCTAGATAGTTTGACTTTAACTAGTGACATTCTAGTTTGACCCTATATAAAGGGTTAGTCTTGTATTAATTTTGTAAGGAACTCAATTGTAATATCTCAGATACGTAATAGAAAGTTTGACCAATATTTGGAGCATTGACTTGCTCTCTCATCTCTCTCAAGTGTTCTTATTGAAGATCTTAGATCTGCCATGATTATGAAGGTTTATTGAAGATTGATCATAACAAGGACTATCAATTAGTATCAGAGTAGGAATGCACAAAATCAATAGAAGGAAAGATTACTTTTTTTAAGAGAGTTTGAAGAAAAGTTTCTGGAAGTTCTTTGTTGTTCATCTTGTTCTTCACTTTTTCTTTGAGTTTGATTTGAAAATTTTGAAAAATATTGTGCTTATGTGTTAAAATCTTGATCAAGTTGTACGTAATTATATTGTGAATCTTAGTTGTTCACAAAATTTCATGTTTTGATCATTATTTTTCAATTTTTTTGGATCAAATTTGTGGTTTTAAAAGTTTTTGTGTTCTTGAAATTTTTTGTAAAAAAAATCTGGATTTTGATCCATTTTTTGGTTGAAAAAGTTGATTTTTTGTGTTTTTGATGTAGTTTGATCGGATTAGGATTGAACGGTTTGTGTAAATCGCTCAAGGAGGACTCTTTAAATCGCTCAAAGATTTGATCTTGGCTTGAATGGATTCAAAATAATATGATTTCGTAAATCACTCCTTCATTGATTATACTTAAAAGCTACACATCTTGATTAATTTTTATCTGATCATTGTGCTTTACAAAAATAATATTTTGATCAACCATTGTGATCAACTGAGCTTACAGTAAATTTAGGAGGGACTGAGTGCTTAATAGAAATACCTCTACGGAATGTCAGAGCCGACAAACCTACCCAAGAGGACAACCATATCTGAGTGAGCTTTAAACTCAAAAAGGGTTTGTGTGCAGAGCTTAAAATGAAAATGAGATGGGTAGTTGTTGTGAGCTAAAAGAATTGATGAGAGTTGTGTCAGGATTAAAAGAACATAAGAATCCAGTTCCAAACTTCTAAATACCGGGTATACCACATAATCTATTAGTTCTCAATTTTTTCGAGACTAATATTGAAAAAGGCAAAGCCCAAGCCAATTCTTGTCACAATCCCACCAGATACTCATTTATCTCTTAACAGATAAGTGTTTCAATAACACTTGGGGCACACAGCTCACAATCTATCAATTTCTCATTCGGAGAAAGTTGATATTGAAACAGAAGGATATATGTCCCCCCTTCATGTCTTTTTGATCACTAATTGAGTCTGATAAATTTGTGTACTCCACACGATTTATCTTTTTGAGCTTTAACAGAAGCATATGTTACTTTATCTTTCTACACTACACAGATTTTGCAAATTATACGTCATTTTGCCAAAACATTCATAGATATGCTATTATTAAGATATCGATGATTGAATGGAAGACCTGGTGAGATGAACCTCTTAAAGTCTCATATATACAGTACATCCGTTGTACTGAGTATATTTGTTATACTCACAGACCAATCATTATATAAGATTGAAAACAATTTCATACGTTGAAATTGGTTGTTATCTTCCCATTCCCTTAATCTGAAAAGATTATACAAGTGGATTTGAAAAGATCTGCATACAATTTTCATGAATTGACGGCTTTCGCTGAAGATTTTATTCATTCTTGTGTATGATGCTAATGATTCTCATTTCATCATAAGGGGGAGCATGTTATATAAGATTAAGGGGGAGTAACAACAAAGATCGGCAAAGGGTTCAAAGGAGTGTGACTGCAGATAAGTACTGAAGATTATTCCTGTGCTACAATATCTGAGAGTTTTTGAATGTGAAGATCATCGTTTCAAAAGTGTACTGACAGAGATTTCTCATCAAAGAAAAATGTTTGTGAACTTATTTGAAGAAATTCGTTTTTGGGAAGAATGTCTGTAATTCATTATCTGAAGAAATTCTTTGAAGACCATATCTTGAAGATCGTTTATGAAGATCTTTGCTGATACTGTTCTACATTGTCAAAAAAGAAAATCATCGATGTTCTACATTCGAGGGG